GAGATTATTCCATAATATACATTCTTTGCATAGTTTCTACCCTAAGGCTGTACCAAAATGTATTTAATTCATTTCCTACTAATGGACATTCAGATGGTTTTTCAAACCATGCTACAATGAATAACTCCGTTTAGTTGTCTTTTCACACATGTGGAATAGTCTGGTTGAACATATTCCTAGAAAGGGAGTTTCTGTGTCAGAGGACTTGGATTTTAATCCTCACCTGAGCACATGTTTATTGACTTTAGAGAATGGGGAAGGGAGAGAGAAACACTGTTGTCTCCCATATGTGCCCCCACTGGGGATCAAACCCCCAACCTAGATATGTGCCCTGACTGGGAATCGAACCCAGGACCTTTCAGTGCAGGGGATGATGCTACAACCAACTAAGCAATACCAGCCAGGGCCAGAGGAGTTGGATTTTAGGCTTTGACGGATGAGGCCAGTACATGGTAGTATAACACAGCCTGGAGCTAAGTGCTGACTCAGCCACTTATTAGTTGCGTGAACTTGGACAAATCACTCTATGTCACAGTTTCCCCATCCCTCACAGGGTTGCTGGGAAAATTCAATGCGTTAATATACAAAAAACTGCTTAGAGTACCTGGCATGTAATAAACACATAGCATTAGCCTTTATTATATTAATTTATTATTTTGTCAAGTTACTTTTATTAAAAAGTAACCTTGCCAACATTGCTTATTTTCCAACTTTTTTAACTTTGTCAATCTGATGGGTGAAAAGGGTATCTCACTGTGATTTTAATTTTCCTATGATATACTCAATTACTGAATAATTCAGTGACCTTATTCCTACTGACCCTCCTTGCAGCATTTGACATTTGAAGTCTAGATCTATTAAGTTGTCCCCTCCTCCTTGGCAAGTCTTCTCTATTGCCTCCTGGAATACTACACTATACTCCTTTGGTTCTCTTCCTTTCTGGTCTTTTAATGGTTCCTCTCCCTCCTTTCCTCCTGCCCTGATTCTTAAGCTCTTCTCAGCATGGCTTCACCCACTTTTCTAACCTTATTTCCTATCCTTATTTCCGACATTATTTTCTTCTAAATACATACACTACTTGTTCTCTTGTCCCATTTGTATGCTTTCCTGCCTCTGTCTTTGCTCATGTTCTAACTGGAATTCCATCTCTTCTAGGATTGACAGATGAAATACAGGACAACCATTAAATCTAAATTTTTAGTGTTTTTATCTGAAATTAAAATTTAACTGGATATTTTATTTTAGTTGCTAAATCTAGCAACCCTCCCTCCAAGACATTGTGCCCCCTAATGCAGTTAAATCTTTCTGTCTTACATCATTGTTACTTGTGTTCATACAAGAATAAAAGCCTTAACCAGGCAAGAGCTGGGTCTTCCCTTTTTTTGTATTGTATATACAGCTGTGCATACCATAGTTTCTCAGGAAATATTTGCTGAATTCAGTGATATAAATTTTCTGTTATATGGTTACAGGAAAATTTCTTTCCCCGTCATTCCTTTCCTCATTCCCACCTCCAGCAGTTCTTGTTGATTTTGAGTAACTGCTTAATCCAAGCCCACTTAAATTATCTATAATTTAATGTGTATGTGTTTATACCAATTCAAATGGATTAGTTAATCTATGGTAGCTAATCTTTCAAAGATTTGTCTTGGCTCTCCCATTGACTAGCTGTACAATATTAGTCCAGTTATTTTACCTCTTCAAGCCTTGGGGGGTTTTTTTGTTTTTTTTTTAATAGGGTGTAACACTTTATTTTATTTTTTTAAATTGATTTGAGAGAGAGAGAGAGAGACCAGTTGCCTCCTGCACGTGCCCCAACTGAGGATTGAACCCGCAACCTACGTATGTGCCCTGACCTGGAATCAAACTGCCACCTTCTGGTATATAGGACGATGCTTCAACCAACTGAGCCACACTAGCCAGGTCAAGCCTTGGTTTTCTTAATCTATACAATACAGTGGGGCCTTGACTTACGAGTTTAATTCGTTCAGTGACGGAGCTCGTAACTCAAATTACTCATATGTCAAATCAAAAGTGAACGAGTGAGACACGTGATGCTGGGCTGATGTTGTGGCGTTCACTGTGACGTTCGCTGTGCCAACTAGCGGTGGGGTATCTGAAGCTAGCTCGTAACCCGAATTTTAGCTCGCAACTCAAAGCAAAAAATCGGCCGAGAGACGGCTTGTATCTCGAAAAACTTGTTAGTTGGGACACTTGTAAGTCAAGGTCCCACTGTAATAACAAATGCATTACTACAGGCACCTATGATTAAAGCAGGTGATCCATGTCAAGCACTTAATATACATTAAGGGCTCAATATATGTTAGCTGTTGTATCTGTGAAAGGCTCTATGAAGGAAAATACGTATACTGGGGGCTGTAAGAATTTACACAAGGAGTCCTGAGCTAGATCAGAGAGAGCTTCCTTGAGAAATAATACCTGATATTTATTGAGTTCTCACCATATGCCAGTATATTAGATTGCTAGGGCTACCATAATAAAGCACCACAGACTGGGTGGCTTAACAGAAATTTGTTTTCTCACAATTGGAGATTGAAGTGTTGGCAGGGTTGGTTTCTTCTGAGGCCTTTATCCTTGGCTTATAGGTAACCATTTTCTTTCTGTGTCTTCACATGGTCTTCCCTCTGTACCTGTCTGTCTCCATATGTCCTCTTCTTATAAGGATACCCTAATTGAATTAAGACCCGCTCTAATGACCTCATTTTACCTTAATTATCTTTTTAAAGACCCTATCTCCAAATATGGTCACACTCTGAGGTCCTGGGGGTTAGGACTTCAGCATATGAATTTTGGAGGCACACAACTCAGCCCCTAACAGTTAAGCACTAATCTGTAGTCCTTACATGCATTATTTTACATCAACTCTGTCATTGCTATTTTAATCTTACAAACTGAGGTATAGAGAGAGGTTAAGCATTTTCCAAATTATACAATACCTAGGAACCAATAGTGCTCAGGCCTGAATCTAGATAACCACCCACTGAAGGTTTATGAAATACTGAAGGATGAGTTGGAGCTGGCCCACCAAGTATTAGAGGGAGCATACCAGGTAGAGGGGAGTATATTGAAAGACCCTGGAGTGGAAGAGAGCTTGGCACATATGAGGGGATGAACGAGTCAAGGTGATGATGTTAAAGAAGTGGACCAGAGAAAATCACAGCAGTCCTTACAGGCCATGGCTAGGATTAAGATTTTGGCCTTTATCCTAAGAATAATGGGAAACCATTGAAGGATGACTTTACCCACTGAATAATAAACCACTTGAAAGAAACACAAAAATCCTAGTTTTAATTTTTTACAGATGAGGAACCAAGATCTGCTAGATTTTTCAATGTATTGCACCTAAGCTTCCATATAACTCAATCACGAGGGTGAAATATTTGTAAAGTTGGCTTCTTACTACTTAAAACAGGTGGGTGCCCTGGCCAGTGTGGCTCATTTGGGTGGGCATCCTTTCATGTACCAAAAGATTGCTGGTTCCATTCCCCAGTCAGGGCACATTCCCCGGGTGGGGGCTTAATACTTGGTAGGTGGCGTGCAGGAGGCAGCCCATCAATGTTTCTCTTTCATTGATGTTTCTCTCTCTCCCTTCCTCTCTCTCTAAAAATCAATAAAAATATTAAAACAAACAAAAACAGGTGGGTATGTATCTAAAAGCAATGTATGGTGTAGGTGGCCTATAAGCTATGCTGGGTTCCCCAGATGGGAATGGGAAAGTTGAGAGTTCTAGCCATCGAACTAATTTAATCTTGGTCTGATGTTTTGGCCGCCTTAAATGTAGAAATGTCGTGAGGGCCACCACTCAGCATTAAAACTCAGAAGAATAAGACCGAGTAGCTTTTCCTAATTTGTTGTTGTTAATCCTCACCTGAGGATACTTTTTGATTGATTTTTAGGGAGAGTGGAAGAGAGAAGGAAAGGCAGAGAGAAACATCTATGTGAGAGAAACACATGGATTGATTGCCTCCTGCACTCCCCCAACCAGGACCTGGGAAGGGAGGAGCCTGCAACCAAGGTACATGCCCTTGACCCTAATTGAACCCGGGACCCTTCAATCTGCAGGCCCACGCTCTATCCACTCAGCCAAACCAGCTAAGGGCGCTTTGCCTAATATTTTTAAACAGCTTTATGTAGCTACAATTTACATACTGCAAAACTCACCTGTTTTAAGTGTACAATAATTTTTAGTAAATTTACAGGACAACCACCACCGCAATCCAGTTGTGGAATATTTCCATCACACTGAAAAGATTCTTACTGTCCATTTACAATCAATCCCGGCCTGTTCCAAATCAGCCTAAGTGTATTTTACAGAGTTGAGATGACCTTACAGACCTCAAATAAGCCCTAAAAGGAACCCAGGATTGGACTCCCAATGACTATGAATATAGGGTATATATGTATGTTTTTTCAGCGTGCCAACTATGTCCTGGCTCGATCTGTATGTGAGGAATTCATTCTTCCACTGACCAAAACACAGTTAGCTTCCCTACGTGTTTATCTAAGTGGTGCAAAAGCGGTAAGCGGGTGCCTCTAAACACGCAACGCGCGCATCTGTGTAGGAGATGAGCACCATGTGCTGAGTGATAACGTGTATCCAAGGCAGGGCCAGTCCGTGTCGTGTGCGCCTGCGCGGCTTCGTGAGTGCCTAGAAACCAGTAGCTAAAACCCCTGCCCGACATCTGCCGGTTCTGCTGCTGGAGCACCGCCGTCTCAGACCTGAGCGTTCAGCCGGGATACACAACGAACCCAGGCCCGGTAGGTAAACCCACCCCCTCGTTTTCCCCACCCGGAGCTCGCTCGGAGGACCGAGATTGTCAGGCTACACTCAGGGGCCGCTAGAATGGGGCGCTCTGCCATAGCCACACCCCACAGTTTACTGGGCCGCGTCTCCTTGGTCGATGAAGGACTTGGTCCCGCCCCTTTGAGCTGACGTCATTAGCCACGTACCACGTCTCTACGTGTCTCCAGCCTGAAAGCGGAAGTTACGCTAGGGACTCGCGAGCGCAGCGATGGACCTGTAAGGATATAGGCCATTTGGGGTAGGGGGCGGGCAGACCTCCTTGGACGGCGCCGGAAGTGGTCGTGCCGAGTAGAGCTAGGGAAGAAGCTGGCGAGCCAGCTCACTTGGCTGCAGCTGGCCGCTGGGGTAAGACGCCTTCTCCCTCCTCTCCGAGAGCCTGGCCCATTCTCTCCGATTCGGTCACCATGGATTTCAGGGAAATTCTCATGATAGCTTCTAAAGGACAAGGAACCAACAGCGTACCGGTAAGTAGCCGCTGGGACGCCCCTGAGATTCTAATTTTAAAGTTGGGAATGTGTATCGATCGGGCGGAACTTCGAGGCATCCGCCTCTCGGCTCCGAGAGAGGAAAGACCTGAACAGCTTTGCTTACTTTTCTTGGGCATGTACTTCTGGGAACTCGGGGTGAAGATGGGGCTTGAGACGAGGCGGGAGCCTCCCGGTGCGGGGCTTGGCCAGCCCAGGTCCCCCTGCAGCCAGGGCCGTGCGGGGTGGGTGCGTTACAGCTGCGAGGAGCTGGTGTGTGGAATCGTGCCTGGCACACAGTGGAATCTAGCGCTTGTGTTTTCTGGCTTCGGTATAAACTTCTGCCCAGAGTGGGGAGCAAGTATGTGTATTGAAGAGTTCAGGGGTTTTAGAGACTTGGCCTGATAGCCTTTTGGCTGACTTCCCGCCGATTTTCGGGTCAAACATTTAGCGCTTTTCCCGAACAGGTTCATCTGATTTGTGGCCCCACCCACTTCACAAACGAAGTGACTAAGTTATCATTTCCCAAGGACCACTTTTTGTGTTGGAAAGAGACATGGAGCAGATTCCACGAAATCCTTGGCTAACTTAAGCATGGGTGAGCTAGTTTTGGCTTCCGTTTACTTGTGGCCTTCCAGGTTTGTCTTTGTTTGAAATCTAGGTCTCATTTGCTTGGCAATGTTTGCCAATTCGCTGGTACTCGCCGCGGTGGTGTACGGCTTTTAAAATCGAAACGCTGAAATGGTAAAGAGTGCCTGGTTTGCGGGATTGTAGCTGCTTTGCATAAGCTAATCATTTCTGGGTCCTCAGATGGTCCCCACAAGACAGCTGTAAACCGGTAAATTGCATTGTGATACCTGCGGTTTGAGCACTGAGATGTAGAACTCAAACAGCTCTCTTTTAAAGTCAATTCAGCTGGAATTTATTGCGCTCTCACTGCGGTCTGCATTTCGTAGAATTTTGTCTATATGTGTGTTTTTTCTCTCTTGTACGTTTCTTGTCTTCTGATGCTGTCCCACCCTTTTGAAAACAGTGATCTGATGATAGTAAAATAACTGGTAAATAAAACTTGATATCCATTCGTTTATTATCTGTCCCCACCATCTCCATCCCAAGTACTCTTACTATTCATTCCCTTCAGCCATGACTCATTAGCTATGCAGGTTGAAGTTCTGGGCTTAAACCTTTGAAACCTTGAACAACAGAATTATTTCCTACATCTGTAAATTTCCTAGACAAGTCAATACTGGATTTTGTAGTACTGGATCTTTGCATTAGGTCCAAATTTAATTCTAGATCTTCCTGAGTTTCAGTGTAGGTGAAAAATGGGTGGTAATACTATCGTTGATGCCCAGGAATAGTCTGTAGGAGAATTAAATAATCTTTGAAACACACACACACACACACACAAATCAGTTTCACTTATTTATGCCTTCCTTCATTGGTTGATTCTTGTATGTGCTCTGATGGGGGATCAAACCCATAACTTTGGTGTATCAGGATGACACTCTAACCAACTGAGCTATCCAACCAGACTCTTTTAAATTTATATACTTATTTTTAGAGAGAGAGAGATGAAGGGGGAGAAACATCAATTTGTTGTTCCACATTTTTATGCATTCATTGATTGCTTCTTGTATGTGCCCTGACCTGGGATAGAGTATCAGGACCACGCTCTCACCAACTGAGCTACCCAGCCAGGGCCAAGAGTTGGTCATTTCTTATTCTAAAAACCATTAGCCTCTGAGAGAAAGGCAAGTGTTGCTAGAGCAGAAGCAGATTTCAGAATATGTGTAAATTTCAGAATATATGCATTATTTATTGACCTGCCTATGATTTGAATAAAGATTGGAAGCAGAAAGATAAACAGGTAAATTGGTGAGGTCATTTAAAATTTAATAGATGAATACAGGCATATATGTTATGAAAGCATGCTTTCCCCTACCCATCCCCCAAAAGCTAGTAAGCTTAAAAGTTGGTTTAGTTAGCAGCATTATAATCCTTATCTTTTTACACACAAGAGAAACTGATGTAGAGCAAGACTTTAAATTTAATCCGTGATCTTGCTTCAACTTGATTCACCTAATTATTCTAAGTTACATTCTTTTTTTCTTTTTTTTAATATATTTTATTGATTTTTCACAGAGAGGAAGGGAGATGGATAGAGAGCTAGAAACATCGATGAGTGAGAAACATCGATCAGCTGCCTCCTGCACGCCCCCCACTGGGGATGTGCCCGCAGCCAAGGTACATGCCCTTGACCAGAATCGAACCGGGGACCCCTGAGTCCGAAGGCCGACGCTCTATCCACTGAGCCAAACCGGTTAGGGCTAAGTTACATTCTTCATTAGCTTGACATCAAGTCTTTTGGAGCACACCATCAATGCAAACAATGTATACATAATAAGGCCCAGGAAAAAATACTTTCTTTCTTTCTGCAGGATTCTTTATTATTTTATATTGTTGACACATGCCCCCCCCCTTTTATCTCTTTACCCATCTCCATCCAGCCCCTGCCCTTCCCCCGCCACCATTACCACACTATTGTCTGTGTCTTTGGGTTATGCATATATGTTCTTTGGCTAATCTCTTCATCTTCTTTCATCCAATCTCTCCATCCCCCTTCCTCTGACTTCTGTCAGTCTGTTCCATGTAGCCATGCCTCTGGTTCTATTTTGTTTGTTAGTTTATTTTGTTCATTAGATTCCACCTATAAGTGGGATCATATGGTATTTGTCTTTCTCTGACTGGCTTTTTTTGCTTAGATAATAATCTCCAGGTTCTACAGGATTCTTTTTTCTTTTAAGTCAACTGGAGAGACACATTTTTACAAAATACATATTTTTAAATTTTTGGAAACTTGTAAAATACATAGAATGTTAACATATACCTATATGCCCATACCTCACATTTAACATACATCAATATTTTGCCATATTTTTTAAAAAGATAATTTTATTGATGTTAGAGAGGAAGGGAGGAAGAGATAGAAACATCAATGATGAGAGGGAATCATTGATCAGCCACCTCCCATATGCCCCCCACTGGGGACCGAGCCCTCAACCTGGGCATGTGCCCTGACCAAGAATCAAACCGTGACCACCTGGTTCGTAGGTTGCCCGCTCAACCACTGAGCCACACGGGCCAGGCGCCATATTCATATTATTTTAAAGAAATAAAGCCTAATTAATATGAAGTCTCCCAAGCCCTGTTTTCTTTCTTTTTTTTTTTTTAATTATAACATATGGTACAGTGTAATACAGGTTCTTGTGTGTGTGGTTGTTTTTTTGTTAATCCTCCCCCAAGGATATGTTTCCATTGATTTTTAATCCTTTTTTTTTTTTTCTGTTCATTGATTTTTAGAGTGTGTGTAAGGGAGGGGGAGAGACACACAGAGAGAAACATTGATGTGGTTGCCTCCCACACGCACCTCTGTGGATCAAGCCTGCAACCACAGCAACTGACATACATGCCCTTGTCTGGAATCAAATCCAGGACCCTTCAGTCTGTAGGTGGACACTCTATCCACTGAGCCAAATTGGCTAAGGCAGTACAGATTCTTATAAAACAAATATCCTTGTAAGCCACCATCCAAATCAAGAAACATTTCAAGCCACATACACACACCCAGCTTTACATAAACTTGGTTGATTGATGTTCTAGAACCAGATCTTTGCCATAATGGGCAGTGACATCATCATCCCTCTCTAGTGCATGATTCGTTTTTCCTTTTTAGCCATCTTTTTCCCTATCTTCCATTTGGATCCCGTCAGACTTGATGTTCAGATTTAGTCTTCATAGTTCCTATGGCAGACCTTTACTACAGGAAGATATCACTAGCATTGATTAGAATGAAATCCAAGGGAGGCTAAAATCTAAAACACCTGTACAGCCACTTCCAACTCTTTGCAGGGCTTTATTTTTAAGAGGTGTCTGTTGTCATCTGACTTGAGAATTAATGAACATTTATTTCCCCATGGGACATCTTTCTTTTTTCTGTTGTTTTCTTTTTAAACGAACTAGTTATTTTTATAATGTTTTAGTTAAAACAAAGAAAGGATTGCATCATGCCTAGAAATATTTGGCACACTATATTTCCCAGTGGGAAACTGAATGCAGAATAACAGCTGATCAAGGTGATGTAACCAGTCATTGTCATTAGCTGTGCTTATATTTAAACAAGAAAAGACATTTTTTGTAACCTTATACTTAAGATTTTTCCCCCTGCCTTCCTCTAGCAAAAACAAAGCATTTGTCTTGTTTTGATAGAATAGTAGAGCTTAGATTATGGATTCTTCTAGGTTTCAAGGAGCTATATTTAATGGCTTGTAGTGCATGAGACAGGTTACATGATCTTTCTCACAGTGAGACTGTGAACATCATCTCAGACAAGATAATAGTCGCTCTGATGTGACCCTCAAACCAAAAAGTACAGGGGAAGCCTTCATTTGGTGCCAGATATATAAGGATTTGGGGGGCTATGGCTCCTTGAGAAAAATAGAGGTACTGAAAATGGAGCCCAGGAACTCTAACTGGGATGGCAGTTACAGATGTCTTCAGGAGCTAGATATTGTAAATTCTTGAAGTAGTCTAGATATAAAATGATCAGTGACAAAGCGCCACATATTCCAAAGAAACCCACTATTTATTACAGTAGTTATATTTCCTTTTAAAGAACAGTATGAGCCCTGGCCGGTTTCGTTCATTGGTTAGAGCACTGGCCCTCGGACCGAAGGAGCATAGGTTCCATCCCTAGCCCCAGTTCGGGCACCTGCAGGAGGCAGCCTATTGCGCGCGCGCGCGCGCGCGCTCTCTCTCTCTCTCTCTCTCTCTCCCTCCCACTCCTTCACTCCCTCCCTTCTCTCTAAAAATCAATGGAAAACATATCCTTCGGTGAGGATTAATAAATAGATAGATAAATAAATAAATAAATAAATAAATAAATAAATAGTATGAGCCAACAATAAAGTTTCTACAAGCTATCACTTTGTAAAACTTGA